CGTGTCCATGAACGATGCTTTAGTGTCACACAGCAAAAAGCTTATTCCATATTCCTCATTCTCCTGCTTTGTAACCTTAGAGCTGCTGTTATCCCTTTTTTTCTAGCCATTAATACAGTCACAATTCTTAACGCGGCTCATAAACTCGTCTTCAGGGCATGCAATAGTTTGGGGTTGTTTTTGTGCCGAAAATAGTCAAGAAACTGATGGAGACGTTCCTGTGCAGGGGATGTCATGTGCTGGAGGGCAGGGAGGTGCCGGCACGCGTCTCCCTGATTTCCACGGGTGTGTCAGAGCCAAAAGGGGACTTGGGCGGGTAGGTGACAGGTTGAGGTGTTGGATGTCCCTCCCCGTAGCCCCTTTGCGTGATACGGGATGGTGACAGAGCTTCGGCAGAGCACGAGATATGAGGGCTGGAAAGTGCGGCCTGGGCCGAGCAGTGGAGCTTTTTTTGAATGCGGTAACTCGTGCAAGTTTGTAGTAGCAGCCGAGGAGCCGTAGGAACCACGTCAAGCAGGGAGCTGCCTGGTCAGCCTGATGAGCTAGACAGACTCCTTGAAAGTGTCCATCCCTTCTCATTTCATGAAAAACACAGCATAAAAGTGTGGGGTGATTTACAGGAGCTGTGGTAGGAATGGGGGCTACTGATGAAGTTTGACTGTTAAGACAGAACAAGATCAAGACTAGAACATTCCTGACTGAGAGTCACTGTGACCCGAGTGCGGGATGTTTGTGGCGTGGAATAAGCGACCCAGCTGAAATGGACTTGAAAACAGCATTTTAAATTGTGGCTGTTATTTCTAACTTCTGATGCCTGGTATCTTGTTACAGCTGTCATAACTCAGAGCTGTGCAGGACGTTCCCGCCCTTTTGAATAGCTGACAGAGGCTGGAGCTGCAGCTCGGCCACTTTTTTTGAGAGCAAGTTGTCACCCTTCACCACGAAGGTGACCTGTAAATAGAAAACACTGTCCATGTCATTTGATCTCTTATTTTTCACAGCATGAACCTGGATGCCTGTGCTAGTGAATGTACAGGAGGACGTTCAGAGACTTCTGTGTTACAGGGAGTTAATATTTAAGTGGGGTTAGGTATAAATACATAAAAGGATCAGCGTCAAATGTTTTAAGAATAAAAATAGAGCTTATTTCAGGGGAAAACAGATGTCATTTTGTGATAGTCAAGCAAAAACAAAAAAAAAGTAGTAGTTTTTAATATCCTTCAGTGTAGAACGGTGTTGTATCACCCTGTTAGAGATGATTTTGTAATAAAGTAGATAGATGTTTGCTCACCTAAATTGAGCATTGTATTCCAGTTATAAACAACATAATTAGTCAGGAGGACAGTGGTTGGATCTCTAGGTGTGGAATGCACTGTCATTGATTATACCATGTGACATTGAGCTGATTAAAGTATTATTTTTAAATTCAGACTTGTGAAATGTATGCAAAGAAAAAAGGTAATTTTTGAAATTTTTGCTGCAGAAGCCGTACGTACTTGATACGTTACATGTTTTGAACTAGTCTGCAATATCCCTAAGCAGGAGGATAAAAACCTAGCCAGTTAGCAGGCCTTCTGTTGCTAAAATATATCTGAAAGCAACTACACTTTTGAAATTGTTTCTAATTTGCAATTTTTCTTATACTTAAAAGCCCTATTGAGGACTGGGAAGTTTTTTGATTCTTCTTTGTTTCTCTACCAAAGTTATTGGAACATCTGAGGAGAAATATCTGTGTA